ATAACATAACATAATCTAACATAACATAATCTAACATAACATAACAACATAATCTATCATAACATATAACATAATCTATCATAACATAGCATAATCTAACATAACATATAACATAACATAACATAATCCAACATAACATAGCATAATCTAACATAACATATAACATAACATAACATAATCCAACATAACATAACATAACAACATAATCTAGCATAATATAACATAATCTAGCATAACATAACAACATAATCTAGCATAACATAACAACATAATCTAACATAACATAACATAATCTAGCATAACATAACAACATAATATAGCATAACATAACATAACAACATAATATAGCATAACATAACATAACATAATCCAACATAACATAACATAATCTATCATTCTAGCATAATATAACATAATCTAGCATAACATAACAACATAATCTAACATAACATAACATAATCCAACATAACAACATAATCTATCATAACATAACATAACATAATCTAGCATAACATAACAACATAATCTAGCAAAACATAACATAATCTAACATAACATATAACATAATATAACATAATCTATCATAACATAGCATAATCTAACATAACATATAACATAACATAATCTAACATAACATAACATAATCTAACATAACATAACATAATCTAACATAACATATAACATAATCTATCATAACATAGCATAATCTAACATAACATATAACATAACATAACATAATCCAACATAACATAACATAATCTAACATAACATATAACATAATCTATCATAACATAGCATAATCTAACATAACATATAACATAACATAACACTAGCAAAACATAACATCATAACATAAAACATATAACATAACATAACAACATAATCTATCATAACATAACATAATCTAACATAACAACATAATATAGTAATATAGCACATAACATAACATAATATAACATAACATAATCTAACATAACATATAACATAATCTATCATAACATAGCATAATCTAACATAACATATAACATAACATAACATAATCCAACATAACATAACATAACAACATAATCTAGCATAACATAACAACATAATCTAGCATAACATAACATAATCCAACATAACATAACATAATCTATCATAACATAGCATAATCTAACATAACATATAACATAATCTATCATAACATAGCATAATCTAACATAACATATAACATAATCTATCATAACATAGCATAATCTAACATAACATATAACATAATCTATCATAACATAGCATAATCTAACATAACATATAACATAATCTATCATAACATAGCATAATCTAACATAACATATAACATAATCTATCATAACATAGCATAATCTAACATAACATATAACATAATCTATCATAACATAGCATAATCTAACATAACATATAACATAATCTATCATAACATAGCATAATCTAACATAACATATAACATAATCTATCATAACATAACATAACAACATAATCTAGCAAAACATAACATAATCTAACATAACATATAACATAACATAACAACATAATCTATCATAACATAACATAATCTAACATAACAACATAATATAGCATAATCTAACATAACATAACATAATATAACATAACATAATCTAACATAACATATAACATAACATAACATAATCCAACATAACATAACATAATCTATCATAACATAACATAACATAATCTAGCATAACATAACAACATAATCTAGCAAAACATAACATAATCTAACATAACATAACATAACATAACAACATAATCTATCATAACATAACATAACAACATAATCTATCATAACATAACATAACATAGTCTAACATAACAACATAATCTAACATAACATAACATAACATAATCCAACATAACAACATAATCTAACATAACAACATAATATAGCATAACATAACATAACAACATAATCTAGCATAACATAACATAACATAATCCAACATAACATAACATAATCAATCATAACATAACATAACAACGTAATCTATCATAACATAACATAACATAATCTAGCATAACATAACAACATAATCTAGCAAAACATAACATAATCTAACATAACATAACATAACATAACAACATAATCTATCATAACATAACATAACAACATAATCTATCATAACATAAAATCCGCCCCTGCATATATATATATATATATATACCCACATGCACACAGTGCCTTGCGAAAGTATTCATACCCCTTCATATAGTACTGTATCTAGAAAACTTTATTTTGTCTCTTATTTCTTTCTTTTAATTGGCTAATAAAGTTCTTTTTAGCTTTACCAGCCGGTGTCGCTGTTGGACAATTACTTTGTAAAATCTAGTGACTTTTACACTTTTTAATGTCACATTTTGTAATACTTGCGTTGTTTTATTTTTGTAATATCGATAACTTTCTCATCCAGTTTTTTCTTCTAAAGAGACTCTGCCTCCCTTGCCTTGACTGATGGCAGAAGCCGTACTACACAAACATCAGACATTCATTCATCTTCAATTATGATCCTTGGGGAAGTTGCGGCTTTGAGGTTATGTCAATTCTGGCAGGTTATTTTACATTCATTATTCAAATTAATAAAAGTGCGGGCGTCCCGAGTTCGAGTCCCGGCTCGTGGACCTTTCCCGATCCCACCCCCCTCTCTCTCTCCCACTTCACTTCATGTCGACCTACTGTCCTATCTAAATAAAAGGCATAAAAAAACGCCAAAAATAAATCTAAACAAAAAAAAAGTGATGAATGGAAATTGGGCAGTTCAATTAAGTACATAATTTTTGTAATAATATATATATAATATATCAGATGTGAGAGTCTCCTTAAATGTGGTTAAAGTTGTCTGTTTATCACATTAAAATGAATACTGTACATTTCTTAGGCTCTGATTTATTGGTTGCAAACCAATGTCAATATGTGCCGATATATGGTCAAATCTGTGCTTCTGAAGTGCACATCTTTCGAAGGAAAGAAAAGGTAGAGGAGGTTTTTTCTTTGTATAACATCTCCAAATACATTCTTCCTGTCAGGACATTAGGGGATTTCCATGTCAAGCTGATGCCACTGTAATTAGGTACCGATTTTCTTTTTTTCCCCCAGTGTTGCAGAGATCAGAACAGGTGAGGACACAGAACGCACCGGAGAGGGAAGACATTTTTAACAACAGCCTCCCACCCCCCAAAAATGTACCTCACTTGATTTATTCAGTGGCAACACCTAAATGGGGGAAGCCTATAACCCATTCACAAACATCAAAAATTAATTAATCTTAAATAATGATCCTTGAGACTTTGCTTTGTATGTTTTTGCTGATTATTTTACATGCATTTACATCATTTTCATGTGTCATCAAAAAGAATAAAAATGGAGAATAATATAAGCATGGTACATGCATGAAAAAACATTTTTGTAATATTAAATATCTGGCAAATATCTGTGGGATTCCTGGTAAATGATACATAACAGTTAAGTGAATTAATTCTGAAGGAACTGGATTTGATTAAGATTCATTAAGGTCTTAAATGACAGCATAGACAGCATTCAATTATAACAAAAGATCACATATTTCTTAAAAATGTTGTAACAGCTTTATGTACTCTTCACGTTTGAAGCATTAACATCTGTACACATGAAATGATTTGACCATATGTGTTATTTACTGCAGGAAATCCTTCTTCTGAGAGACGCCGGGACTGCAGCAGACTGGTGTAGCAGGAGAAACTGGGATGTAAAAATACAACGTCCCATTGTTCTTTCAATGGAAAAGGAGCAACAAATTGCATCCCAATGCAAATAGCAGAGCTGGATGGGTGAATATGACGAAAGTTCTCCAGCCGAACTGTTCACTTTTGCATTTGGGAAACAAAAAGATTATGAGGTTGATTGAGGTTAAATGGTTGATAAAGCAAAGTACAAAATCTTCGCCAGATTTGAGGAAGAATGAGTCCATCCTTCAGGATCATAAATAAAAAAATAAATCAATCAGTGATAAAAATACATTAAAAAAATCAATAAAAACTTAAGTGTCTCAATTCAAATGGTCTCATGATTATTTTAATATATATATATATAAAGTGTTACATTAAATAAATAAATACTTGTTTGTGTGTGTGACATCTGGCACTCCTTATGTGTGTGTATGCTCTTTATGGGAAAATGCTTATGCAGTTTAGCTTATTGGGTTCACATTCTGATCGCATCTGCTTGCTGCTATATAATATGCATCCTCAAATCTTTGATTTAAAAAGAAAACGGTGTAGTTTTCAGCAGAAACGGCGACAAACGGTCGACAGAACTCTGGCAGCTGATTCATAAGAATGTTTCATAATAATACAACTGTGGGAGCTTTGCATCATCCAGCGCTGTTTAGAGTGTCAGGACCTTGAGCTGTATATGAAAATATGGGCTTCTTTTCTTGCATTGATTGAGAGAATGCTATAACGAGATTAAGGAGGAGGGGTGGGTGGGTCAGTTGTTAAATGTCATTTGCATATGTCATACTGTCATTGTTAAGTGTTACATTAGGTCAGATCTGTTACTGTCAATCATTTAAATCAAGTTGGGGTTGTTTTACTGTGCAAAAAAAAAAGCAACAAACAAAACCAAACACCACAGGCCACTGAGAACAGTGTAGTGCAGCTGAACATGTGCTCTTACATTGTGAGGCACATAACAGACAGAGAAAGCAACTTGTTGCAAAACTAAGCGATAATGGAAATCAATGATATTGCAGTTATGAATATATTTCAGAATGCACAGAAGCATCTAAGGGTTTATGATTTCCTTCTAACATATCTGAGAGATACAGAGTTGATGAGAAGCATTTAGGTTTTAGGTGTGTGTTTGTTTATTTGGGGGATGCCACCAGAAGTGGCGCTGCCAGAGAGAGCGCGAGCCGAGTTCTTTCATTCTCACCGGAAACGACGGCCTCTTCTTCTCAGCTCTGCTGCTGTTAGCTGGCTGCTACTAGACGGACAAACATATCTGGATCCCGTGCTTTTATGTTGGCACTGGCCTGCGTGTGTCACCCGTCCTCATGGCCATGTACAAGGTGAAGCCCGTCAGTCCCGCTGACATAAAGATCGATTTGCCAACGCGCATGTACAGGTCACCGAATCTCCACGCGCAGGGAATGCACTGCGGACTGCGCGCGCTTCAGGTATGCTACGGGAGCACGTCAGGTCATCATTCACATATGAACATGAAATCGTAAAAATGCATAAGACGCACAGTGGCTAGGTCTGTCTGATGCAATGATCGGGTGTGATTGACAGCTGCTGTACTTAGTGCTCTGGAACCAGAGGTTGGTCCTTTAGTGACTTACACTTTCAGTTTAATGCACTGCAACTAACAACGACTGCCTGGAATATTTAGGAAGGAGATGCATCATACTAGAAAGGATGATGATATGGTAAATTGATCTATTTATAGATCATCTTGCACGTAGTTTAATGCAACTAAATGTTGTTTTGTAGTGCACCTTTGCATGTTTGGGGAGGTAGCCATGCGGATTGCATGTAACCGGTCTCTTCTGGTCTGTATCTCTTGTTGGTCTCAGAATGGAGAAGTGGATCCTGCTCTGAAGGCGCTGGAGGAGCGACAGGATGAAGTGCTGAGAAGACTGTATGAGATCAAGGCAACGGTCGAGGGGCTGGCGAAGACGGTGAGCACTCCTGATGCAGACCTGGACGCCAGCACACTGTCACGCGGGCCGGCTGAGTCTGTGCTCAGAGGGACGGCAGATCTGGACTCTCTGCTGGGCAAGGTGAGCCCTTACGTGCGCCACGAGACGTGTTATATTCATCTCGAGTTAGATTGGGATGTTTCAACCCTGTGATATGTTCCAAATGCACGTCTTGCTGAAATGTTTCTGGTTGTCCTCCAGGACCTGGGTGCGCTGAGAGACATCGTGATCAACGCCAGCCCTGCCTGTCCTCCTCTGTGCCTGCTGGTTCTTCATGCTCTGCTGTGCCAGCGCTACCAGGTGCTCTCCAGTGTGCATGTGCACTCCTCTGTGAGCGCTGTGCCCCCTCCGCTGCTGTCCTGCCTGGGCCCGCGGCACATAGACGGCTACGCCCGCCAGCACTTTCAGCTCGGCTTCACTCTCATATGGAAAGATGGTGAGAGGGTAAAAAGAGAGCGGCACTAAAATTGATCAGAATGTGTTTTCCTGGAGGGCCGCTGTATCGGAGTGAGTGAAACTGATTTGCTTAAAGGGATAGTTCACCCAAAAAGGAACTAAAATTCTGTCATTAGTTACTCACCCTCGTGTCGTTCCAAACCCGTAAGACCTTCGTTCATCTTCAGAACATGATTTAAGATATTTTTGATGGAATCTGAGGGCTCTCTGACCCTCCCATAGACGGCAAGGTAACTACCACGGTCAACGTCCAGAAAAGTACCAAAAAAGAATGACTTTTTCACATTTTCGTCTCTACTGCGTCACTTTGGACGTGCGTTCACGACAGTATCATGACGTGAGCGTGTGGCGGCGCTGACGAAAATGTGGAATAAAGTCGTTATATTTTGTTCTCTTTGCGCAAAAAAGTATTCTCATAGCTTCGTAACGTTACAGTTGAACCACTGATGTCACACGGACTACTTTGTCGATCATCTTGGTACTTTTCTGGACCTTGACCGTGCTAGTTACCTTGCTGTCTATGGGAGGGTCAGAGAGCCCTCATATTTCATAAAAAATATCTTAAAGGGGTCATATGATGCTGCTAAAGAGAACATTATTTGGTGTAATGAAATGTGTTTATGCGGTTTAAGGTTAAAAAAACACATTATTTTCCACATACTGTACATTATTGTTTCTCCTCTATGCTCCTCCTTTCTGAAACACGTGGATTTTTACAAAGCTCATCGGTCTGAAAAGCGAGGTGTGCGCTGATTGGCCAGCTATCCAGTGCGTTGTGATTGGCTGAATACCTCAAGTGTGTGACGGAAATGTTACGCCCCTCACCATACTGTGATGCCCTGTCCCGGAGCGACGAGACAAAAACATTAAAACCCATTATAAACGAGGCATTTGTTGCATCCAGTGGGGACATAATTACTGATTATAATGACTTATACTGTCTTTTTATGCATTGCATCGCGCCGCGTAAACATAAAACCATGTCTGCATTTGCAGATGTGTGCAGTTCTGTTTATTAACTGCTAGAGCGACAAAAGTTACATAGTGCTAACCTTTGATGTGTTCTGTACTGCTGGAAGACTGGTGTTGTTACATTTTTAAAATGTCAGTATCATTGCGGTACAGAAGTACGGGTGCTTTTGGCAACACTAGATTGGATTGTGAAGGGTGGGTGTTTATACCAGACCTGTTGATTGTGGTGGCCTACTCCTCTTGAAACTATTTGGCTACTAGTCAACATATATATAAAAAAAAAGCTGAAAAGAAGAATGCATTCATTTAAAGGTGGAGCAGATTATTACAGTTTGACAAACAATTACGAAGACAAATCTTTTTTACTTTGCAATAATTGTGCACAATAAAACCTTAAATGTGCATCAGGGGTATAAATAGGATCAGTTTGGGTATCTTCTGTATGTATGCAATTTTTATTTTAAATAAATGCTGTTCTTTTTAACGTTATTCATCAAAAAGTCCTGAGCTGAAAAGAAGAATGCATTCATTTAAAGGTGGAGCAGATTATTACAGTTTGACAAACAATTACGAAGACGAATCTTTTTTACTTTGCAATAATTGTGCACAATAAAACCTTAAATGTGCATCAGGGGTATAAATAGGATCAGTTTGGGTATCTTCTGTATGTATGCAATTTTTATTTTAAATAAATGCTGTTCTTTTTAACGTTATTCATCAAAAAGTCCTGAAAAAAGTATCCCAGGTTCCAAAAAAATATTAAGCAGCACAACAGTTTCCAATATTGGTAATAAATCAGCATATTATACTGATTTCTGAAGATCATGTGACACTGAAGACTGGAGGAATGATGCTGAAAATACAGCTGCGCATCACAGAAATACATTATATTTTAAAATATATTAAAATAGAAAGCCATTATTATAAATAGTAATAATATTTTACAGCATTACAGTTTTTTCTGTGTTTTTGGTCAAATAAATGTAGCCATGATAAATTTGTCCTTAAGGGGAAAAATTTTCCTTTTTTTCCCCCAGAGAAAAAAAACTAGAACCAAGATTGGAAAAATTGCAAAGCCACTGAATAAATAAGCTTTCCATTGATGTATGGTTTGTTACAATATTTGGCCGAGATACAACTATTTGAAAATCTGGAATCTGAGGGTGCAAAAAAATCTAAATATTGAGAAAATCATCTTTAAAGTTGTTCATATGAAGTTCTTAGCAATGCATATTACTAATCAAACATTAAGTTTTGATATATTTACGGTAGGACATTTACAAAATATCTTCATGGAACATGATCTTTACTTAATATCCTAATGATTTTTGGCATAAAAGAAAAATCATTTTGACCCATACAATGTATTGTTGGCTATTGCTACAAATATACCCCAGCGACTTAACACTGCTTTTGTGCTCCAGGCTCACATATATATACTGTATATACATTTGCAGTAGCTCCAGATATTTCAACATGCTAATTATTGTATCATCTCCTTTCAGTGTCAGAGCTGCAGATGAAGTTCAACACGCAGAGCATGTGCCCGATCGAGGGGGCGAGGGGGAGCGCTCGCTTTCTCTTCCGTCTTTTGGGTGCCGAACCCCAAGACCCGGTCGCCGCCACGCAGATGGACTGCTGGACTGCTACGGCAGTTTTCCAGCTGTCCGAGGGGGGCAGTAAAGAGCGGGCGGCCGTGCTGAGGTCACTAAACGCGGCTCTGGGGCGTTCAGCGTGGCTTCTGGGTCAGGAGTTCTCTCTCGCCGACATCGTGTGTGCCTGCTGCGTGCTGCGGGCCGGCCAGACCACCTCTGCACCAGTTAACGTACAGCGCTGGCTCAAGTCCTGCCAGAACCTGGGCCACTTCGACTGCGTGTATCCGTTACTACAGTGACGAAAGCTGTGAGATCGGCGCAGGTCGTACTCTAGCTGGAAACTGATACGCCATAGTCAATTATATAATGAAAAGGGAAATGCAACATGACTTCGCCAAACACTGTAACATCCCAGAATCCAGTGTTAACTGAGCTCAGGTCTGTAATATGGAATGTTTAGAAATGACGTTTGAACTGGAGGCGATCTGAAACTGATCCCAGGCCTGGGTCATAGATGCAAACACTCAGAGAGAGGGCATTTGGGATAATGATACTGTAAAC